TTGAAATTTCAAAGACATTAGAAGCATCCAAAAGAGTCACAATGAGAGAAACTTCGCTAAATAAATATAGTCAAAAAGTAAACCAGATGCTGTCTGCTAAGTGGGGTATTGAAGTAGATATATGAATGATTTTGAATCAGAATTTAGCATTGCAAGCTCTCATTATAAAGATTAAAAATTACCCAAAATCCGAGAAATTTAATTTCTTCATACTGTCTATCACTTGTTTTTTTCATTGTAAGTTTTTTTTTTTTTGAGTCTGGGTTTTTTCCATTACACTGACCTGAGCATTTTTTAGCATGACTAATTTTGATTCAAAATTTAGCAGCTCTCATTTTAAAGATTAAAAATTGCCCAAAACGAGAGAAATTTAATTTCTTCAGATTGTCTATCACTTATTTTTTTCATTATACTGACCTAAGCACTTTTTAGCATATAACTGATTTTGAATACAAATTTAGTAGCCCTCACTTTAAAAACTAAAAATTGTAGATGGCCCCAGAAATTTAATTTTTTCAGATTGTCTACCACTTATCTTTTCCATTATACTGACTTGAGCACTTATTAGCATATAACTGATTTTGAATCAAAATTTAGCAGCTCTCATTTTAAAAATTTTAAAAATTGCTCAAAACCCGAGAAATTTAATTTTTGCAGATTGTCTATCACCTATAATTTCTTCATACCTGAACATTTTTGAGCAAATATATATTGTGTACTACATGCATGATGCTATAAAAATCCATTGGGAGAAGAAGTGAGAGAACCTTGGAAGATGGATCTTGCTTTTCGACAAAGGCTCTCATCAGACTAACTTTTTTCTGCTCTTCCTCATTGCTTCCATCAGTTATACATTGTAGGCCCTCTTTTGCTTCTGTTTTTTCTTCTTTATTTCTGGGTTTTTCTCAGCTCCTCACTTTTCTCCATCACTGCTTTTCCCTCCATTACTTTCCAGTAGCAGAGAGAGAGAGAGAGAGGGAGAGAGAGATGACAAAGGGACTTGAATGAATGAAGCTAAGAGCTGAGGGAAGAGGGAGTTCAACTACTTCGCCCGTGTTAGTTGGTGGCTACTTATTCATGTGGCTTCCATCCAAATTTTTCAAGTTAATTTTTTAAGTCAATGTTTTTTAAGTTTATTTAGCATTTTTTAATTTTTTTTGACAGTGCCGATACAGGGGAGTCGAATTTAGAAAATGCTATAAAATTCAAATAGAATTCAAAAATTATAATTTAAATATATATTATTCATGAGATGAGTGGATCCTACTAAAAAATTTGATAAAATCTACTCATTCAAAAAATAATATACATTTAATTTGTAAGTTTTTAAATTTCATTTAAATTATGTAGTATCACTCGAAAAAGTTTCGAACTTGTGATCTTCGCATGACGAGTGGGGTATTTAAAATTCCAATGTAATGCTTGTTAACTTGCGGATGGGGGGTAATCTTCGGATCAACAAGGATTTTTAGTGTTTGAATTGAGTTTAAGGAAACAAATCTCTAATTGGGTTAAAGGGGTGAAGTTGAAGATCCGGATTGGATTCAACTCGAATTAAGAATTTAAAAGTTGGAGGTGAGCAAAATTGACTTTACAATTTGTCGGACCCATCTAAATTACAACCTTATTGCCAATGATCCATCTAAAGAAAAAAAAGGAAAATTTGGAGGCCGGTCTTTCTTTGTGGACTTATTTGATTATAAGTCCATCAAAGAAACTTGTTTAATATTAAGTCAATTTTGATCTTTATTGTCCAAAATACCCCTAACAATTATGTTTAATTAAAACAAATTTAAAAATCAATTAAAAATTTGATTAACATTAAAATTATCTCTCATATCTATCTATATTCATATATAAAATAGAATTATTTATTTCTCTCTCTCATAGACACACACACACATATATATATATATATACACACACATACATATATAAAGGCCACCAAGGATTTGGTGAATAATGCCAACTTCGACTGTTCGGATTTTCTTTGCTAGCCATGTACTCGTGCCATGTGGCACTAGTGATTCTGTTGCTTAGATCGAAGCGATTTGAGCATTATCGCTGTGACCTTAATATTTCAATAAGGATGAATTTGAATAATATGACGGCTTGCTAGTGACACGAGGAAGAAGATTCCTTCTAGATTTTCTATTGACAAGAACAAGAAAATGGACTCTTGAATTTAAATTTCAAATTTTATGAAAAAAAATCTTATGAGCATTTCCCAATTAGGAAACAAAATTAACATTTAATACTATTGAACCATTATATGAAGGGTATTTTAGAGTTTTTAAAAAATTGTGGACTTTATTACTTATTAATAAGATAAAAAATAGATTTATAATCAAATAAATTTCTTTGATGGACTCGAGTCATTATAAATTCCTTAAAAGAACTCAGTCTCAATTTTCACAAATAAAAAAAAAAAAAAAAAGGCTCGAGTCTTCTAACTTGAAGGCCTATTATAGGGTGGATGTGATAGGTTGATAATCATAAGGTGCAAGTTATGGGTCAAAGTAATTCTGCTAAGGAATGCACTCATATTGGTATTCAATTTCCAACTCGCATAAAGAGTTGGAAGATGACGAACACCTTTTCCCGCAAGATTAGGAAAATCATTTTTCATTTAATTAGTATCGATCATAAGAGTACGATTATACTACTAATGATGATAATTAAATAAAGATTAGTTACAACCGATAATCAAGTTACTACTGCACAAAGATTGGCTTACGACTCAACTGTCAAGATTAACGTGCTGCATACATGATCATCCCAGCCCAGCTGATGTGCGACATAAGACTAAGCCAGTGGCTGTTAGTGTGCAGATTAATGTTTCAATTGTGTAATACAGTTTGTTTTGTGATAGAGCAAGAGCAAAACAAGGATCATTCTTCATCAAGCCCATAGGAAGGAAGCAGTAGCATAAGGAGAAGGTCATGTGT